GAACAATAATTTGTTTTTTAAGTATCAAAGTTATTTGCATTCATAGTTGCATGGTAATAATGCCCATCCACCTGCCACCCACCTGTTTTGGGGACTGCACTACTTGATTCAGCTCCCTTGGCAGAGATATGGTTTTTCTTGTGTTCTGCATCTCTACACAGAGTCAAAGTGTTGGGGTTAGATATCTGCAGCCGCACAACCCTCACTTTGTTCAAAGGCACCAGGACACATACCAGGCAACGGGCTTTGGTTCAGCACAGACAGGAAATGGATGTCCTTTCCAGTATATTCTTCCATACATTGGCGCTCCATGGAGCATCGCATGGCACTGGCTCTTCTTGCTCATCACTCTTAAATCTCATTTAAAGAAGTCATTAGTACATGGCCTTTTCCTAATGCTGCTCTTTCCAGGTGGCAGTGGCTGTAGTCACAGGGCTGTTGCATCATCATGGAGGTGGTTTTCCATCCAGATTCACACAGGGAAAGGGAGGAAGATGCCAGCCTCCTACAAAGATGCAGCATACCTGCCCCATGGAAGCCCGTGTTCTAATACAGGTTGTGTCTTTACAGATCACTTAGTGGAAGCGGGAAGCGTTGGAGGGGGATCCACTGGAAGCAGAGTACCTGAGCCTGTGGAAACCTGTGGCTTCTGCTTCCCTGAACAAGGGCCTGCCATGCAGGAGACCAAGGCATGTCACAGTCCCTTCTATCATCCTGGAGCAAGGGCAGCTGCCTCTCAGACTGGGATATCCTGCAGAGGAAGTGCTGGGGTTATCCCTGCCCCTGAGGATGGCCATTTCAAAATCATATGTTCTCCATCGCAAGAGAAGACCCTGACAACATGAACTCAATGAGCTACGCTGTGATCAGGGGGAGAAGTAACACTCCCTGTACTAATAATCATGCTGCTTGCATTTGATCCTTGCTCTTCATCCTCAGTAAACAACTTACCTTACCTGTCAGTCACAAGAGAAGCAACCTTCTCACCATAGAAACAGACTGTGGATTGTCACTATTTCGCTCTACTATGGAAATAAAATTCTCACGATTGTTATGCACTCACCATAAAGTCTCTTGTATCCTTTCCAATGTAGCACCACACACGACCTCTAACCTGACCTCTCCAGCTTCTTCTAATACTCTAGCATCAGCAGAACCAAAAATTAAATCAGGTTTTTCAAGCTGGCACCCGTCTTGCTGTTACTAGCTCTGTCTATAGGTGCGAGGCACAACTTGAGACACGGCACTGCAGAGCGCAAGCCTTCTCTCCTCGCTGTTACTGGCTCTGTCTATAGGTGTGAGGCACAACCTGAGACACGGCACTGCAGAGCGCAAGCCTTCTCTTTCCAGGACTCTGCCTGTAAGCCAAGCAATTTCCAAGCAACCGTGAATGACTGACAAGTGTCTTACAGAGATGACCCAGGCAGACAAACCGGACCCACTGCAGCCAGTCAGTGAGCAGGCCCATAGATGGGGAAGAAGAGGGACAAAGGGGCCAATTGCATAGGGGCCTGATGTTTAAAAGGGGCCCGGAGCTCCTGACTGCCACGAGCTCTGGGTCCCTTTGAAATGCCGCGGGAGTACTGCTCCGCATAGCGCTGTGGGTTGGGAGGGAGGGTCCTGCACCACACTCTTGGTGGCACTAAGGGCTGACGGCCCATGGCTCCACCCTTTCCGTCTGAGGCTCCATCCCTTCCGGGGGCAGAGCCAGGCCTCCTCACACCTTGCCCCTGGGCCACAGTGACAGTCTGCCCCATTCTCAGTGCTCGCCATAGTCCATCACGGCATCAATAGGAAGTTCTTCAGCCCCATATTCCATAGAGATATTATTGGATCTTGATACTTCAACCAGACACTCACAGAAATGTAGGACAGGAGGGGACCTCAAGATGTCCTCTACTCCGTCCCCCCGCATGAGGAAATCTCCCTTCTCCCCAAATTCTCTTCCTAGTGATAAAAACAAACAGGGATTTTAAAGAGCATAGAGTCTAGCTTGCCAGAGTGTTGAAAAAAAATAGTGGTATTTTATGTCTTGTTAAAAATACATATAAAGTCACTTCTTCCAGGTACGAAGTAGTTGCAGCACTGCAAGAACTATGTGCTAGGTACAACATGGAGCACTAGATCTTTGTCTGTAAGGTTTAGAATAGATAACTGGAGGATATTTCCTATCCTATTAAGCAATTTCCAGTGTCCCATGATTAATGTACTCTGAGTTTTAGTGCTACAACAGTTTGTTTTCCAGCCCTCAGCTCGAGGGCCTTTTAGAAAGGAGATTTTTTTTCCTTGATAGACTTCCTTGAACACTCCTAACACAAGCATACTGTATCCAGTGGAGAAAGAAGGATTGAAAATATCACAGCCAGCACTGGCACCATTTAAAGGTCCAAGTGGTTTCAAACCAAGCAACTGTGGTTAAAGGAGAGGGCTGTTTCCTAACAGTTGATGACTAGCTGGGGAAGTGGTGGGAACGGATACAGAATCAGCCAGCCAGTAGATGCTAGGAAGATGATGTAATCCAAATGGTCATTATTGCTGTTTCTAAACCATGTGATGTTTTATAAACCAGGAATTGCAGTTTATCCAGTTTGTATACAATATGGGGCTTTGCCAGCAGCACCAGGAAAACAAGGCTATGAACATTAAACATCCCATTTGAACTAACTGAAGTGACACAGGTATCATCTGGAGTGAGGCAGCACCAGTGTTTTGTGTGTCGATGAATTTAGTGCTGTGACAGTGCTGAATTGACAGTCCTGGGAAACTAAGCCTATTATTCAGCCACGGGACAAGGTACAAGTACAATACAGCTGTGCCAATGTGGGTCAAAGCATGCAATGGACAGACTAAATTTAGGAGCTAGAGGAGCCTATTCCTTGGTCTCCCTGTGGTCAGTACCAACTATGATGGTTTTCCAGATGGAGGTCCTTGGAAACTGGGTTGACACTACAGAGACTTGGCTGTGGTGCTTATGTAAGACTATCTGACAGTAATAACGTTCAGCCATTCCCAACCTGGCCTGGGCTGACCTAGCCACCTTCAGATGAATGTCTCCATCTCCCATTACCAATCTCCCAAGATGTGATATATGAGGTTGCAAAGACCTGCCATAGGCCAGTCCAGTTCAAATGCTCTTGGCTCTCTAGTGCAGCTCCCTCGCGATGCATGGGTAAGCACCCCTGGAACCGGGGGCTAATTGGGGTTGACATTTTGGTTGGAGATATTCCTGGAGATTACATCACACGGCATAATCTTGAATGCCTGGAGACTCGAGTCTAGGACAATCCTGGAGCATTTCCAACCCTGAGAGAAACAGCTCAGAGGCCTGCTTCCCCACCCTAAGGAATAGATCCCCCATGTTTAAAAAGAGAAGCAGAGTCCTGTCGAAAGGGACAGAAATATTGAAGAGCTCACTGCCCTGCTGCCAACACATTTTCAGTTGGGGCACCTGTCAAGGGCCTGACTCATTCATTAACAGTTCAAATAAAACAACATTACAAATGTGGTCAGAATGGCAGCACACGCCACTTGACTCCGGTGAGCAAACACTCCTGTTCACAAGCAGGCCAGGCCAGCGTTCACATTCATTCATTAATTCAGAGTTCACTTGCCCTCTGGCAGGCCTCCCTCTGGTTACCAGGCAACCAGAATGGCAGCGCCGCCCACTAGGCACTGCCGGTTCTCTGGCACTCACTGCAGTAGAGGAGGAGAGGGCAGCTGAGGCCCACAACAGCATGCAGCCTGTGTGACTGGAGACACGAAATGCTGGTCAGGAGCCAGGGTAGTCCATCTAACATGTCCACCGTAAACAGGAGGGGGACACTCCCCGTAATCTCACACATGTCCTTCCCCCTCTGACAGTGTTTAATAGACAATCTTTGTATGGCTACATTAAAGAAAAACGTAGCTTGGGATCGGCCAGTCAAATAAACAAGAGGATGAATTATTTACACAAACACCAAAGCATAACAACAGTGAGAGATGTAAAAGCTACAGAAGCAAGGAAATCAACATACTTTGCATCAAGTCTGCTGTTGTTGCGGCTGTCTAATGACAGGTCCTACAGCTCTGACCACAGGACAGAAGGTACTTCCTCTTTCGAGACAATGGTTATTTATTCCTTTCTTACTAGGAACCGAGGTACTGGGTGCAAAGAGTTCATCTCATACGCCACAATATGATGAAGTGTGTTTTCTCCTGAAAGCTCATATTATATTTGCTAGTCTCTTAAGTGCCACAGGACTGCTTGTTATTTTCAAGTAGACTAACATGGCTACCCCTCTAACTTTTTCCCACAATTTATAGTACAAGCCTCTACTGAGTGCCACAAGGAAGCAGCAATCTTCAGTAACTCCTGGTCGAGAGGCTGGTAGAGCCAAGCTGCTACGCTGTAAGCTTCATTCTTCTGTTATGTACATAACCAAACACACTGCTGCCACTTCTGCACACACACCTTATGATGGCTCTCCAATATCAGTCTCAGTCATGGGTAACTTCTGATATTTTGTCAGAGCAGAACAAGTGATACAAAAGAAAAAAAACAGCTGCTTTCAAAGTGTTTAAGATCAGGGTTGAAACAGGATAAATAGCTGTCGAAGCAGGCAAGTTTTGGCTACTGTCAACAAGTGAGGTACAGGCAGTCCCCGGGTTACATACAAGATAGGGACTGTAGGTTTGTTCTTAAGTTGAATTTGTATGTATGTCGGAACTGGTACATATTGTAGGGGAAACTCTAGCCAAACATTTCTCCAGAGCTCAGTTTTATTCTCCCACACCTCACTTCCCTCAGTCCTTTATTCTCAAGCTGAGGTGTCTACTGAGAAAAGCTGCTGTGCGTCTCCCTGATCTGCTGGGGGGGCGCTAGCTTCGTGTCTCCCTGGTCTGCTGGGGGGAAGCAGCTAGTGCGGGGTTGCCTCACCCCGTTTGTAAGTAGGGATCTAATGTAAGTCGGATCCATGTAACCCGGGGACTGCCTGTACATATAACTTGATCAATGAACTTATAAATCAGCAGTAAGCATCTGATTGCATGGTAAGGCTTTCTTATCAAACAGAGCTTGGTTGAAGTCGATGCAGCCCATTCTAAGAGACATCTGGATGAGAAGAGGTGGTGATCGTCTCCCAGTTCTACAAATATATGTAACATGGTGTGATCTGCATGTCTTTAATAAAGAAAGTGTGGGACCGACCGGTGTGTACATGGAAAAGGGCGTTCAATTTGATACAGCACTGGTTTTTAGAACAGTGGCAGGACTTCCCACTTCTAAAGGAAGAAAGAGGATTCCCTCTTCCCTCAATAACTAGGATTCAGTCCCATGATTTAGTATTGCTAAAGGAGCCTCAAGCCTTTCAGTACAGGATACAGAGGTCAATGTTACAGAAGAAAACTGCTTTTCATATGCCTCAAATTCTAGGCTCATAAGCAGAAACAGAGCAGCGGAAGCCAGTGAAGATCCATTAATGCAGAGGATGGTTCTTTCCCAGTGTGGGAGAGAAAAAGTGTAGCGGGGTGGTTTGCGGGGCTGGACTTGTCACAACAATCACTGTGGCTGGGAACAATAAGCTCCAGCAGGCCAGTACAAATAGAATTCATTTGTTTGACTTTCAACAGTTCTGGCTATCACAAAGCAAGTCGACTAATTGTGCAGTAATGTGTGAACGCCACACGGGGGTGCCAATTCTTCAGTAACAGGAGGGTGGCGGTTTGAATTGCATCAGTAAACACAGGCTGGGGAATAGTGAAAGGCTGATTCTTGCCTTCAACTGCAAGCTTACTGCATTATTAAAAGATAGCAGGAAGCCGTTGTCAAGCGCCTACACAACGCCACACAGCCTGGCAGGGAGGGATCTTCCTTTAGAATCAGTGTGCCATCCACCTGTTGCTCTAGCAGACTCTCAATTGCGACATTAATTTAAACTCTGCAGTAGCCAAGTATTATCTTTACCAAATCAAGGCAGAAGTATTCTGAGTTTGTGCAGTGGGGAAGATAGGTTAAGAAACCCTAGAAAAATACTCACCATGCAGGAATCGTACTGCCTAGCTGCCCCAATCTTCACAATCTCTGTGCACTTACAGCTGCAAGGTGCTCATTCCAGAAACTGCTTTACATGTTCTCCTCCCCCATGTCTTCCAGGAAACAGTTCCAGACACTCCACATCTGCCTTAAGCAGGCAGACACCTGCAAGTTGCCTCTAGGGCATAAGGATTGGTTGAACCCTTTTTAAATTTCACCCTCCAGTCCTGACCCAGCCTCTGGAAAGGAGAATATTTGCTACTACAATCAAAGCAGGACCGCTTAAGCATGGATGCAGAAACAGACGACCTTCTCAGTGTGACCCTTACACAAAAAAATACAATGGCTAATAGACTAACATTCGCAAATTCTTCATGAGTAAGAAGCAGTAGCAACTGAAAAACCATTTTTTTTCCTTTTTGAGCTCTGCTTTCTGAGGGGCTAAGAGGTGAATAAACCCCTTCCCGTGGACTGAAATTCAATCTATAGCCTTGCTTCCTGGGAATAAAACATACAGAGCATGCCGAGTTACAGCCAGTGTCTAGACAGGCAAATGGGCTGCTCTTAACAGAGGGGAAGGGAACAGAAATATATTTGTGACAAAACAGAAGCCAGCCTGCACACCGGCTGCAAAGAGTTAAGGACATAAATAAGGATGGGATTCCAAAGGGGAGGGGAGTCTGTAAGGAGTTAACAAATGTGGGAGGAGACATGGGACCAATAAAAGCATAGCACATACCAGGAAAATGCTTTGTTTACTTTAAAGCTTAGCATACTGCAGAAGTACTCAATAGCTGCACATCTATGCCTCCATATTGCACCCAGCAGCAGCCATGGCTAGCAGATGGCAGATTTTCAATACCAACATTCTGCCAAATGCTCTCTCGTTTTGAGGGGGCTTGGCAGAACTGGGGAAAGACACAAAACCAGCATCAAACAACAAAACCGGTGAGTTTAAGAAATCAAACTTATTGACAACATTTTTTAAAAAAAAGAACCAAGACCACTTTTACAGTATAAACACGCCAATTCATTCATTTTACTGATGATTCCATTTATGAATTTCATTCTCGTGAAAAAAAGGGAAAAAAAGGAAAAAAATTAAGAAAATAGCTATTTATAGAAAAACAAAACAAAACAAAACAAAGGGCTCAAACAGAAAAGAATCTGTGCAGATGCTTTGATGAGGAGTCTGATGGCAGATTACCACCTGTGCAGAAGGCATGCTTGAAAACCTGTCTCAGTACTGTAGCTTCAGTTCCACAATCCAGGATTTCTTTTACTTTTGTCGAAAAAAAGAGCCTAATAGTTTCATACTGTATTTATTTAATAACTAAAATTCACAAATAAAAAGATACTTGCAAAGTCCTTTAGTTGCGTCATCCCCGCCTCCTCCACTTTACTGCTTTCAGACCCATATGCATCAAAAATGGGCTTGGATTTTTAATAACTGTTATATGATTGGTCAGTTGGAGCTGAAGCACCAATGGAGAAGATGCTTTATGGAGATGATGGCACACCCCCTTGCCTTCCCACACACTTTTTCAGAGGAACACAGGAGATGTACCAGTGCCCGGACTCCTCTGCTCCCATTTCCCCCACCCAGAACATGCCTCATTTTATATTTCTGCTCTTACGTGACTGACTGTAGCCTCTTTTTCCCCCCCTTTCTGTCCTTGCGGGACTGCATACACGTAGGGCATTGTTCATTTCTTACTCCGCCAGGCTGTGAGCCAGTGTCAAGTAGGTCCTGTTACAGCTCAGTGCTAGTTGTTTAATGGGTCTTTTCATTTCAGGTAGGTTTGTGTGTCATTTCAGAAGGCTTGCTTATTTTCTTCCTTTCATTTATCGGACAAGCTGCTGGATAAGGCTACTCGTATTCCAGGAACTGTTTGTGATAGAACAGCAAATATCTGCAAAAAGGAAGACATAACACTACGTTAACCTCAAGCTGCACTTTACAGATTTGTGATCCTAAATGCCAATCCAGCCATGATAAAAACAAGTACAAGGGTCAGACTGTGAAGAGCTTCAAAAAGATCTTACCGAATTAAGTGACTGGGCAACAAAATGGCAAATGAAATTTAATGTTGATAAATGTAAAGCAATGCACATTGGAAAAAATAATCCCAACTATACATACAATATGATGGGGACTAATTTGGCTACAACTACTCAAGAGAGAGATCTTGGAGTCACTGTGGATAGTTCTCTGAAAACATCCACTTGGTGTGCAGCGGCAGTCAAAAAGCAAATAGAATGTTAGGAATCATTAAAAAAGGGATAGAAAATAAGACAGAAAATATCTTATTGCCTCTCTATAAAACCATGGTATGCCCACATCTTGAATACTGTGTACAGATGTGGTCGCCTCATCTCAAAAAAAAGATATATTGGCATGGAAAAAGGATCAGAAAAGAGCAACAAAAATTATTAGCGGTTTGGAATGGGTTCCAAATGAAGAGAGATTAAAAAGACTTGGACTTTTCAGCTTAGACAAGAGAAGACTGAGGGGGGATATGATAGAGAACTATAAAATCTTGACTGGTGTGGTGTGCAACCTTTTTGTTGCATTAATTAAAAAAAGGTGAATAAGAAAAAGTTATTTACTTATTCCCACAATATAAGAACTAGAGGTCAACAAATTGAAGTAATAGGCAGCAGAGTTTAAAACAAACAAAAGGAAGTTTTTCTTCACTCAGCACAGAGTCAGCCTCTGGAACGCCTTGCCAGAGGATGTGGTAAAGGCTGGGATTTTAACAGGGTTCAAAAAAAGAGCCTGATAAATTCATGGAGATTAGGTCCATCAATGGCTATTAGCCAGGATGGATAGGAATGATGTCCCGAGCCTCTGTTTGTCTGGAAATGGGTGTCAGGGGAGGGATCACATGATGATTACCTGCTGTGTTCCCTCTCTCTGGGGCATCTGGTATTGGCCACTGTCGGCAGACAGGATACTGGGTTAGATGGACTGTTGGTCTGACCCAGTATGGCCATTCTTATGTTCTTTTGACTATTAGTGCTATTTTTCTTTGAAACTGAGAGAATTCAGGTAAGTGTACTAGTTTCCTAGGATGACCGTGAAAAGCACTTTTGATATCTCCAGATTATGAGGTGCTACAGAATGATTATCGTCTTCCATTTCCCTATTCCAAGGGAATTGTCCCTCTCCTTCCACAGGTAGAGAGGTCCAGTCAGAGCCATCATTTATCTGAACAAGGAGAAAGTGGACAGGGCTTCCCTCACAGTCAGCCAGTGCTGTATTTTACTCAGCTGGAAAAGCCACTGGAATGCTATAAACCACCTCCTCTCCCCTTGCATTGGCAACTGCCTCCGCAAATGCTACTTGTTTCCTACTGAAGGAAAATAAACTCTTCTGCTCTACTGACCTTTTTGTTGCAATAATTAAAATAATTTACAATGAAAAGTCAAATATTGTAGAAGAGATGCACATTGCCAGGACGAAGAGCAGAAAAGGAAAACAGGAAAACCTATTAAAAATTCCAAACTGAGCTTGCCTGCACTTCTGCAGCAATCAAAGGAAATGTCAGGTATAATTAAAACTAGAAGAGAACAGATTTGATCTTTCCAGCAGAAACCCATGGCTGGAAATGCCAGAATGGAGGCGACTGCAGATTTTAAATGATTTTTTCTTGAAACAGAACCCAATCCCTGCTGCTTGTCAAATGACAAACATGTGAATCTTGCAGAAATAACGGCTCTACGTAGCATCCGCAGTGCACATTTGAGGGATGTAATTAATGTGGAATTACAAATTTGAATTACATCATTAAGGGGGGATATGATAGAGGCCTATAAAATAATGAAAGGTGTGGAAAAAGTGAATAGAGAAGAGTTATCTCCTCTTTCCTGCAATATAAAAACCGGGACAGGGGGAAAAGAGGGTTCGGTCCGCCTGATGAAATTAACAAGCACCAGGGAAACAAGGGGTAGTACTTTTTTCCACACAATGAACAATTAACATATAGAATTCATTGCCATGGATGCTATAAAGTTCAGAAAACAAAAACCTAGATACGTTCATGGAGCATAAGTCCATCTATGGCTATTAGGCAAGATGGTCTGGGGATGTAACCTCATGCTTGGAACGACCCTAAACCCCTGATTTGCTAGAAGCAAAAGATGAGGTGGATAGCTCTCAAAATTGCCCTATTCTGTGCATTCCTCCTGAAACATGTGGCACTGCCTGCTCTTACAGACAGGATACCATGCTAGGTGGACCACTGGTCTGGTCTAGTATGGCAGTACAGGCAGTCCCCGAGTTACGCGGATCCGACTTATGTCGGATCCGCAGTTACGAACGGGGTTTGCTCCGCGTCTCCCTGGTCTGCTGGAGACCAGCAGACCAGGGAGACAGGGAGCAAAGGCGCGGAGCACGCGGGCAGCAGGACAGCCGCGGCGCGTCTGGGCTGTCCTGCTGCCCCCGTGCTCCGTGGCTTTGCTCTGGACGCCTGTGGTACAGCACCTGGGGCACTGCCGGTTGGTCCCGTAGCACCGCTCTGGGTGCTACTGGACCAACCCGGCAGCACCCCAGTTGCTCTGCCCCAGGCATCCTGATCCAGCCACTGCTGGTCAGTTTCAGCAGTAGCTGACTTGGGGATGCCTGGGGTTCTTAAGTTGAATCTGTATGTAAGAACTGGCGTCCAGATTCAGCCTGTTGAAACTGATCTGCGGCTGATTCCAGGAAGCCCGGGGCAGAACAACTCTGCTTCGGGCTTCCTGTAGTCAGCGCTGGTCAGTTTCAGCAGCGACTGAATCTGGATGCCAGTTCCGACTTACATACAGATTCAACTTAAGAACCCCAGGCGTCCCCAAGTCAGCTGCTGCTGAAACTGATCAGCGGCGGATTCCAGGAAGCCCGGGGCAGAACAACTCTGCTTCGGGCTTCCTGTAGTCAGCGCTGGTCAGTTTCAGCAGCGACTGAATCTGGATGCCAGTTCCGACTTACATACAGATTCAACTTAAGAACCCCAGGCGTCCCCAAGTCAGCTGCTGCTGAAACTGATCAGCGGCGGATTCCAGGAAGCCCGGGGCAGAACAACTCTGCTTCGGGCTTCCTGTAGTCAGCGCTGGTCAGTTTCAGCAGCGACTGAATCTGGATGCCAGTTCCGACTTACATACAGATTCAACTTAAGAACTAACAGTTCCTATCTTGTATGTAACCCGGGGACTGCCTGTACTTATATACCAAGTTAAAACAATTAATTAAAAGTATTACAGATTGAACCTCTCTGGTGTGGCACCCTTAGGTGCCAAACCAAGGAATTTGTCAGTCCAAAAGAAAACAATATTGTCTAGCAGCATTACCAATACTTCCACTGCTAATGGGGCTCTCAGAAGACATTTTGGGGTAAATTAATGCTAGTTAATAGCACAGAACTCAGAGCCACAACTGGTGGCTATAAATAAACTTTATGGGACCATGGGCAATTTGGTCACACCCATGAGAAGTGGACATCGGGCTAACTAAAATCATGCTGGACCATGGATGGTGCCAGACAAGTGTGATATAATCTGTGCTTCTATATAACTGCCTCTTTTACCCTCCTGCTTTTTTGTGCTTCTCAATGTTTTCTTGCTTTTCTTCAGTTGCTCACGCTTCTCACCTAGGCAAGGTGCTAACAGGAGGTTCTCAAGACTTTTGCACCATGAGGTTCTCGCTAGGGACCTAGATGGCTTATATCAATGTACTGTCTGATCAGTCGGAGAGCACCCTACGAACCCCCTCCACTGGCAGGAGTTTGAAGTGGCCTTCCTGATGTGTGAGGGACTAAGTGAAGGGAGGAAAACAGATAGAGCACCTGTCCTGTTTGTGCCCTTTCAAGTCCCAGAGACCCTGCACACCTGGGTGCCAATAATATACAACATGGGGTGATGTGAAGAAGAGTTTGAGGCTGGCCTTAGCATCTCAGTCATTATACTTCTGGAATGAACAGAACCAAAAGAGAATAAATAAGGGGGAAATGAGTCCAGAAAGACTGAAAAATAAGAGGAAGAAATGGCAGATGACATGTACAACAAAAACTAGCCCCCTCCCCCGGCTCATTTATTTTTTTTTTTTTAGAATGAACTTTTCTTCTATGAAGTATTTCTAATAGGGAAGTACAGGGGACTAAGAAAAAAAAACCATGACAAAAGAAGCAGAGAGGGCCGTGAGTTGCTTTCCAAGCCTACTGCTCCCCAAGAGTGAAGGGTCAAAGGGCAGTTCTCAACAACACACACACATTCTTCCTTGTATCAGTATCTAGCACTTGTAGGACACTAGCACACAGAGGTCAAACCAGGATCACGGCCCCACTGGACTTGACTTTGTACAAACATGTACCAAGCAGAGACCCTGCCCAGCTTTCAATCCAATGTAAGACTAGATGCAATAAGTGGGTGCCGCAAACTAATGGAAGAAAAAGGGTGGATACCAGATACACTGTGCTAGGAAGCATCTGGCTATGTATGTAGACACAGAAATATCAATCGTAATTTTGGCTAATTAACCAGTGATTAGATATAGCCTGTTTTATAAATTACCCCAGAGGAGAAAGTCTACTATAATATAGAATTCTGAGTGATGGTGCTTAACTAGATGATCCATATGGTTATGGATGACCAGTAGGATTCTCTCAATACCAACTACAATGTGAATTCATAATACACATATTCAACAATGAAAGTAACGTGTAAAAGCCTATCACACACCCATACCTGTGGCTAACAGGACTGTGATGAAAAACATTAGAAAACTATGAGTGATCCTGTAGCACCTTAGAGACTAACAAAAAATATACACAATATCGTGAGCTTTCCTGGGCACAACCCTACTTTTTCAGATGAGTAGAGCAAGAGGCACAGAGAGGCCAATATATAAAGCAGAAAAAAAGGAGAAGGGGAGGAGGAAAAAAAATGCTGTCAATTATTGTGTCCATGACTATAGTGTTTTTTTACTTCCTTCTCCTCTTTTTTTGGTTTATATTTTTGGGTTTCTGTGCTGCTGACTATAGTGTTTTTTTTCTTCCTTCTCTTCTTTTTTTGGTTTATATTTTTGGGTTTCTGTGCTGCTGCTCTGTGCCTCTTGCTCCACTCATCTGAAGAAGTGGGTTGTGCCCATGAAAGCTCATGATACTGAATTTTTTGTTAGTCCCTAAAGTGCTACTGAACCATTTGTTGTTTCTTACATTTTTTTAAAATTACACACTAACAAGGCTACTCCCTGAGGATTATGATGAGATAGATATTACCGCAGCCTACTGGATTAGCCAGGAGGTGGGTGGACATCCCAGAAACTAATTATCTTGCACAGCAGCACAACACACTGCTAACTTGTCTTCTCCAGTTTAAAAACTCCCAGTAGGTTAGACTAGCTTTCTGAAGCACTGCTAAGTGATCAGTCTGGAGAGAAATTGTTCTATATGGTGAAAATCTTATCACTGAAAGAAATAAAGTTCACCCACCAATAGGTGGCCCTTTATTAATGATAAAGCCGTGCCCCTCACCCACTTTTCTTCTCATATCCTTTTTGTTCACAACCTACCCTTCACTGTCTAGTACATCCTTAATGCTAGCCTTGGTGATGATGGCATCATCACATTTGAACCACTGGTCCTTGTGTTGCCGGATGAAGCTGGTATAGTGCCCACTCTCCAAGGTTCCTTGGTGATTAACTACTGCAAACAAGGAATACCTGGTGGAGAAAAGATAGTTAATGAACTCTTGGATCAAAAGAAAAAAAATGTGACCTTCTTAGTGGGGTAGAAGTTTGTGACTGTCTGTATTTGAGCATAAAGAACGGACACCATATTTAATCTCTGTTCCACCAGGGCTTGATACTAGTTGGGGATGGGGCAGGTTTTTCTCTCCACCATCTTGCTATTGCCTCTAGCTGCCTGATTTACTACAACTATCAGTTTTACAGTAGGAAGCTTTGCTCACATTTGAATAGTAATGGATTTTTTTAAATAAGTAGATTAACATTATTCATTCATAGATACTTGGCTTATGAAGCCAGAAAGGATACTGTGATCACCCAGTAGGACCTGTATAACACAGGCCATAAAACCTGCTTGGATTAATTCCTGATTGCTTGAGAGGACCTATTTTAGAAAAATATCCAATCTTCAGTTAAAAATTTCCAGCAACGGAGAATCTTGTACAGTCTTTAGTAAATTGTTCCAATAATGAATTACTCTTGCTGTGAAAAACGTGGGCCTTATTTCTGATTTGAATTTGTCAAGCTTCAACTTCAAGCCACTAGATCTTGTTATATTTTATTTTGTCTGCTAGACTGAAGAGCTCTCTATTATTATATTTCTGTTTCCCATGAAGACATTTACAGAGTGTGATCAAGCCACTGCAGAACCTCTTTGTTAAACCGAAGAGACTGAGCTCGGAGTCTACCAAAATAAGGCAGGTTTTATAATAATTGAAATCAATCATTCTTGCAGTTCTTCTCTGACTCCTCTCCAATTTCTCAACAACTTTTTTGAATTGTAGATACTAGAGCCGGACAGTATTCTAGCAGTGGTCAACACAACTGCCAAATAAAGAGGTTATAGAATTTCCTTAATTCTATTCAATATTTCCCGGTGGAAATCCAAAGATTGTATTTAGCCCCTCTGGCCACAACTCTGCACTGACTGCTTATGTACAGCTGTTCACCCACAAAAATGCCCCAAGTATTTTTCCAATCCATTTCGTCCCAGGATAGATCCCTCTATTGTGTAAGTTGGCTTACATTCTTTGTTCCTAAATATTATATACATTTACATTTAGCTGTGCTAAAATATATTGTTTGTTTGCATCCAGCTTACCATACAATCCAGGTCACTGTGTTAGTGACTTGTCCTCCTCATTGTTACCCCTTTCCCCATCTTTGTCTCACCTGCAAACTTTATCAGTGAGGATTTTATGATTCCTTCCAGGTCACTGAAAAAATACTAAATAATGTACTGCCAGCTATTAATCCCTGCAGGACCCTACTAGAAATACATCAGCTCAATGGTTCCCCATTTACAATCAACAACCAGTTTTTGATCCACGTAAGATGTGCCTTATTCTAGTTTCTTAATCAAAATGCTAGGAAGCATCTGGCTATGTATGTAGACACAGAAATATCAATCGTAATTTTGGCTAATTAACCAGTGATTAGATATAGCCTGTTTTATAAATTACCCCAGAGGAGAAAGTCTACTATAATATAGAATTCTGAGTGATGGTGCTTAACTAGATGATCCATATGGTTATGGATGACCAGTAGGATTCTCTCAATCCCAACTACAATGTGAATTCATAATTCACATATTCAACAATGAAAGTAGCTTACAGTACCAAGTCAAATGACTTAAAACTTCTGTAAGTATTTTAGATCGTCACTATTACTTTTACCAACACAGCTTTTAATCTCATCTCATCCTCAATAGCAATAAAGAAGTTAGGTTGATAAGATATATTTTCTGTAAACTTATGTTAATTGTAGGGATGTAAGTGACTAGTCAACTAGTCGCTTCCCCCCCTCCTCCACTGCCTCTGTATCAGAGACAGCGAGAGGGTGAAGGGACCAGGAGCCGGGGCTGGGCTGGCTTAAAAGCCAGGTCCCTCCAGTACATCTCTGCAGGGGGGTCTTGGGGCTGTGGCAGGAGAGGCAGAGGCGCAGCGGGAAATGGTGTGAAGCATTCCCCACTTGCACCGGTTCGACTGCTATGCCTCTGCCTTTGAAATGTAGCAAAAGCCCCGTAGGCAGCTCTTACATTTAAAAGGCAGAGGAGCAGTCAGAATAGTGAGCAGCCAGAGGAGCAGCCAGAATAGCCACCCCTTATCGACTAATCAATGGAAATTCCATTGACTACTCGATTAGCTGATTAGTCAAAATTTAACATCCTTAGTTAATTGACATTAATTACATTAGCTTCCTTAAATTCTTGATTAACCTAGTCCTGCATTAGCCATTCCATGTTTTTACCTGGGATTGATGTTAGGGTGACAGGGATAACATCTGCTTGGATTTTCCCATTTATCCTTTTTAATATTAGCACAACATGTGTTTACTCCCAGTCCTCTGGAACTTCCCCACTAATGTGAGTTGCACCAGTCAGTTGTCATCAACAGAGGAGTGTTTAAAGAAAAAGCATTCCCTTTCATCCTTTGCCAATGACGTTTAACTCCTTCCCTGCACTACTGCTGGTGTTAATACTAGCAAGGCAATAGCTTAGCTGCTCAGGGATCTGAACAGCTAAGTAAAGGTGCAATATAAGCTTTATTCTGACACGAAACGGAATTACTGTGCTGTAACACATGGCAATGCTTGAGCACTGCAGGACATAGAGCAGATTCTACATCACACTGCAAAAGTCAGCCACCTTGCCCAATAGGAGAGTACAGGAAGGCATCACTTACTTATTATCATTGTTTAGACTATCCGTCGGCTGCTGGTACTGTCCATTCATTCTGCTCTCTTTGCTGTAACAAAAACACACAAGAATCCAATCACTCCAAAGCAGTGGCTTTCCAAAGGGAGGCAGTGGGTTGTACATGGCAGAGAGCCTGCATGCTACCTCCAGGGGCAAGTGCAACGATCTTTATTGGCGAAAGAGGACTGCTGACTATGGTATTACAGATACTATATTTGTGCTCACAGCAATGCTGTCTAGGAATGCGATTTCTGCTCCTAAGGCCCCAATTCTGTAAACACACACATGCTTAAGTCACAACTTCCCATCCCCACATTTTAAGTTTAAGAGGTGATTAATTTGGTTCTTAACTCTGAACAAAATACAGTTACATTAACTTCGAACACCTATGGATCCATCACCATTCCTTTAACTTGTGAGTTTACTTTGTGTTTCTGATTACAGCAATAGAATTACCTTCCTGGTTTCATAAGTTGATGAAATTCTGATTACAGAGCCCCCTGCTACCAGAAAAAAATTATCCTGATGTCATAGCAGCTATATTTCTTCATACCTGAAACCTTTCATCAGCACCCAGTTATTTTATCCACAGAGGGCTAACCAGAGACTAGCAGGAAAGCCTCAAATACTCTGGAATGTATTGATATAAACTAACCTCTGATATCACACAGGCAATTTAGTGGAGGCTTGGAACTGTCCCTCTTTCTTGGCAGAAATAACTACGTTTGTCTGCAGTAAATAATTTTGAAATTGTTATTAAAACTGTACCAATATAGATCCTGAATTTAAGAGATGCGTAATTTTTGGGCTTTTGGTATAGTTATGATTTATGTAACAGTGATTTATGTAGTACTAGTTTAATTAGAAATGACACGAAGTAGAATACTTGATAGGAATTTAGTATCTCAGTTCACTAACTGAATTTTATGTAAAAATCCTTCCATAAGGATTTTGTTTTTGTGACTGAGATTTGAATAAAAAAATTAGTCTTACATTGACTGGAGATGTTTACTATCTAAAATGCTAAAAGCAGATACAGTCCTAGTTAACAGTATTTTAATTGGGCTTATAGTTTTTGATTCATGTATACAGTGGCTGAGGAAGCCTTTATGTAAAAAGGGCAAGGAAGATTTTCTGCACATTTTTGTAACATTAAAAATATTCAGAATGTTAAGTCCGATCTTCCCTGACTGCGCTGAAGAACGTACTTAGTGGCAAGGGCACGATGTGGGATCTCTAGCATTTTGAACAAAGGACGTCCTTGTTAATTATTTACCTTTGAAATTAAATAGGCATTAGCAGAAAACTAAACTTTAAATAGTCTGAATAAGACCTTTTTTAAATACATGGCCTGAATTGGTTTAACTAAAATTGGTTTTAAAATGAATTTAGTTAACTCAATGCAAACCCTTTCACGGACATATTTACATAGGTATATCTGTATTTACACTGTTATATACACTGTGTCACAGCCCTGGCTCAAAGGATAATCCATCTTCACAACATGCATGTGCAAGATTGGTATCCAGACTAATCTACCCTCTGGGAGATTTTTAACACCGTACATACCTGGAAGCCATAAATGGCGTCATGTCCAACTCCAGCGGAAAGGAGACATACGTAGTGATCTTTCGCCTCAGTTTGGCTGAGTGTTCAAACCGCTGAAGACAGAAAGTGGAAGTTCCTTTTAGAGAACAGACTCTGATTTCCATTTCTTGTATATCTTACATGTTGGGCAAGGTGAGATGAAAGGGAAATACGGAAACTGGCATACAACAACATGAGGATGTGAATAAACTAAGTAGAGACGGGCACACAACAACATGAGGATGTGAATAAACTAAGTATATTTCTGGTAGCTTTCATGTATTGATTAGATCAGTATATGTAAGTGCTAAGAAATTTTCCAAGAAATTCCTAATTCCTGGCAGGAAGGGGGAAAACCAAAACATACAACTTAGAATGGTGACTCTCACCTAGGGAAAAATCTTATTAATTGGGGGCAAGTTTATACTGTAGTCTCAAACAGTAAGGTGCAGCGTGATAGGCACAATACAAACATTGTCCCTGTTTTAAAGAGGTTACACATCTGCAGTAAAACTGGTGATTAGACAAATGCTATCATGGACAGATATGCTTTTAAGGATTCTGCTATCTGACTGGTGTATGTAATCTACTAACATCAACAAGGCAAGAAGTCAAGTGACTGGCATTGTCATGTGTTATCCATGCACACAAGCACTAAATCAAAATAAGGAACAAATGGAAGCTAAAATTAAAAAACAACAACTCCTTTCTCCAAAAGAGAGATGAATTTGTGAAACATGTCATACTTTCATCACCCTTTCTATAGAATTGGAGAAAGGAACAAAATAGTAGAATGAGATGAATGAGTTTCTATTTAAAGAAGACCTCTTTCCCCATTTCTCAGTACTCCTGTCCTATTTACTCTCTTCGCTAATTATTCTTTTTTTGGTAGTGCCATAATCCCTTAGCCAGAGAACAGGATGTCAAAAACTCAGACTTCTGCCCTTTTGATTCTCTGATCCTCTTTCTGATTGCATTATCAACACTGTAAGAACAAATGTCCTTTATGAAGAAATTGAAATTAGTTAAACCATATTAAATACCTTGTAATTTATCATTACAACAGCTATTGGGATTGAGCAGTATTGGTACAGTGCTTTGATGCATGAAATGTTGTATCTTAACTTTTACCAGACAGGACAAGATGGCTTTCAAAGAGCACTTATTTTCAAAACCTTCAATCACCACGGCTACACAAATGCTAAACTGTACTAAAACCTCTTTTTTATATTGTCACTCACGCTGCCTTGCCCTGAAGCAGTCTCACCTTCTTTCAACTTTGCTAAGGAAAACAAGTAAGAGACGTTCATGGCCTGCATTTACTGCCTGCTTTCTTGTCCTTCACAGTCATACTGCTTACAGTTAAAGTCACAAACAGCAGCTGAGTGACCACCTATGACACCATCTACCATTGGGATGGGCAAGATCAGCCTATGGACCTCATCCAGCCCACCAAGCGTCCGGGTCCAGACCATGAGCCACCGAGACCCTCATGCACAGAGCAGCCCTACACTGCTTTAAGCGGCTGGCTGCTCCCTGGGGTTCTCTGCTCCAGGCACCTGGAGACGGGGAAGGATTCATGCACTGCTCCCACCCTCTAGCAAAATCTCTCTGCTCCTATTAGTTGGAAACCCCTGCCTTGGGGTCCTGCAAGGCTGCTGGCTGGAAGCAGTGTAGGTAAGTGCCTCCTGGCCAAAGCCTGTCTCTGATATCTCAGCCCCCACCTCACCCCAGATCATCACCCAAACCCTTTGCATTCCCCTCTCCCAATTCACAACTCCCTCCCAGACCCTGAACTCCCTTCTACATCCCTACCCCAGGCCAATACGCCTCTCCTACAACCATACCCTCTCCCCAGTCCTGCACCCCAATCTCCTGTCCCAGATCACAACCCCCTCCTTCACCCAAACTCACTCTCAGGCCCCACATCCTCTCCTGCATCCCAGCCCCCAACCCCAAGCTCTCTGCTACACCTAGGGTTGCCAGGTGTCCAGTTTTGATTGCATCCCAGCCCCTAACCCCAAGCTCTCTGCTGCACCTAGGGTTGCCAGGTGTCCAGTTTTGAACCGGACAGTCCAGTTTTTGAGCTTTCTGTTCAGGAAACAAATTGAAAAAATATAAATGAGAAAAAAGAAATGGCCGGTATTTTCTAAATAAGATGTAATGTGGACTGTGGTGTAATGTCAAATGTGTCCGGTATTTTTGTTGAAACCATCTGGCAACCCTATCTGTACCCAACCTTTCATCCTAGACCCAGCATCTCTCCTCTACAAAAGTACAGCCCTTGACTGCTTACCAAAATCTTGCTGAGGTTCCCCCCACCCACCCAATCAAAAATTACTGCCCAACCCTGATCACCATCAAAGATTCCGACATCAATAGTGGGTTGAAATGCTAAAAGCCATCACAGTTTGATCTTGAGACAAACAGTTAGAATGTTACAGGAAACTTTTGCATTGTGGCCCCATAACTTCGGAATGCTTTCCTTTCAAAACACAGAGTGCCTCTGGCATCCTTCCAGCTGAAGCGTAGGGTATTTTTGTTGTCGCTCTCATTCTATGTGGCTTGTGGGTAGTAGCTCTATTGTACAGGGGGAATAAGTGCCACTAGGGATTTGGTTTTGTTTGGCTCAGAAATATTCTATTTCGAAAGGCACTCGGAGACAAATGAGCAAGGCTGCATTATACGTATAATCATAATGTCCTTAAACCAAAATCTAACTGCGCAAGCCAGCTGTCCTTATAAGTAATATATTGTAACATTAATTTAAACAAAGTTACAGGTTGCTGAGATCTACAGAAACCCAACTCGTCTCCTGGAGCAGAGTCGATGTTCTTTCATCCACCTGTCCTTTTCTGAACTTACTTTGAGATGAAAACAGGCCACAATGGGTAATTTCTTCATAGTGAGTTGTTTGGTAGATTCCTGGTAGCTATGGCAACCACTACATTTGATTTTGGCACTGCTTCCTAGATGTTCTGGCCTTGTAAACCTGAAAAATATTAAGAAATGAAAGGATGCATAATACTAGCAAATTATTTTCAATGCATCTTGAAAACAGTTTTCATTTCCACTTGTAAGATAAATTTACGGCTTCTCTCAGGAAAGCCAGAGGTGACTGGTTGCCCCGTTCTCCACATTGTAAGAGCCACTGAAAACCATGTACATAGTGCATATTTATAATATGTTGTAGAAAGACTAGGAAACTGAGCACAGAGCAGAGTCATCAGCTATTATACAAGGTAAGCACAAGCTCTGTATTCAGATATTTGTACCCAGAGAGCAGATGCTCCCCCGTTTTTTGCAAGATAAATAAGAATTTAAAAAGCTATCAATATAGGAGAATCCTGTTTCGATTTCCAGCTCAGATATTTATATTTGCTTCCACTTGGGTAGCAAGTTGCCCTGAAATGCATCAGTGGCAGAGAAAGGAGAATGAATATTTGCTCATCCACCAGAACAGACCAGCTCATTTTGAGGCAGATTGTGCCGATCTTTGAATTTCAAAATAAAAAACATGGACATGGTAATTCTGAAGCAAAGCCAGATGCTTGCGGAGCTCAGTTACATGCGTGTCCAGCTCATAGGCTGGGGTCAGAGCTCTGGAGGGAGCGAGAAAGATTTGCATGCAGAATTCTGTCAAAGTCAAGTTACTGACAACTAAATATTAGCTTTTAAAATCTAAGCACTGCCAGCTTGTTACTAAAATCAGGTGGAAAGGCCTGGATTACATCCACGTAATGGGGTTCAAGAAATTGTTAGAAGATGGGACAATACCTAAAATAAACCGCCAGACACCACAAAGACAGGTGGGCAACCTGTGGTCCACTGAGGTTCTGTGTGTGACCTGTGAGATATTTTACCACCATTGCCAACGTGCAGAGTTGTCAGATTCTGTTGGTTTCTGTCCACACAGTTTTTTTTCCCTACCAGGATTACCAAAGCGACACGCATGTAAAGCAAAGGCACATTAAGTGACGTGCATGCTGATTGCACATAACATGGACTATAAGAGCCAAGTACTCCCTCTGCATCCAATCAAAGCGCTGATTCAGTATAAGAGCCATGTACTCCCTCTGCATCCAATCAAAGCGCTGATTCAGTTCAGTCAGTACCCCATAAATTCAGATTACACAAGTGCAGTTAGCAAAACTATACTATCCCGGGAGACTGTCTTGGTTACAACTATCTTGCAGTCCACGGAGATGAAGGAGGGCCACTCATGCGGTCCCACTCACTAGCCTACGTTGCTGGCATAGAAACACTCTAAAACAAACAAAAATAGTCAAACTCTGGGACTCCTGATATTAAATCTGCTCAAGAAGACTAGGAGGACTGACTTTTAGTTATTCTTCAAAATTTAAACTCTCAAGCTATATGAATATTCCTCTTTCTCTACTAATGTTGGTTTAAAGTTATTGACTCTTCTTGTGATAACACATATTGAAGTATAATTGGGCATGTAGATTACTACAGACCTGACACATTTACGTGCTTATTGGTACTGCTTCTAATCAGTGATCCATCTCATTCTGCTTCAGGCAACTGACTTCCTGTACTAAATAGGGATGAAAGAGGGTAACCAATTAACCGATAAGCTCACGCTTATCGGTTACCTGCAGCAGTTACACTCTTCATAGGGCTGCAATGTGTAACTGATATAATTTCTAATTGGTTGCATGGTTAATTTTTTTTTTAGATTTTTACATTCCCAGTACTAACTTAGCACTGATTGTCTTGATCAAGAAAGACATATTTCCTTTTCTCATCTGACTAATACCTCCAGCTCCTCCTCCTCAGCTTTCATTAGAAACGTCACAATCTCCCGCCAGGAAGAGCCTCCATATTGCTGGCCTTTGCCACTTTTCTACTCAGCCCATTTTCTTCCTTACAGATAGCTGCAACGTGAAACAATTACTTCTATGCAGACACCACCCAACTGTGTATCTGCCCGGCCTCATTCTTTGCTGCTCTACCTTGCCTATCAGTATGCAGCTGGATCAGAACCTATATCCTTGCTTCAATAAAATTCTCTCCTTGGTACAAAAGAGTTATCATATTATTTCAACTTTGATACCAAAGCCAGAATTCTGAGAATCATAAGACTCAGCGGGTTGGAAGAGACCTAAGAAGGTCATCAAGTCCAATCCCCTGCTCAAAGCAGGCCCAACCCCAACTAAATCAACCCAGCAAGGGCTTTGTCAAGCTGGGATTTAAAAACCTCTAGGGCTGGAGATTCCACCCCCTCCCTAGGGAACCCAACCCAGTGCTTCCCCACTCTCCTAGCAAAGCAGTTTTTACTACTGTCCAACCTAAATCTCCCCCACTGTGAGACTACTGCTTCTCATTCTGTCATCTGTCACTACTTAAATGTCATCTTAGTGGCATCTTTCAGCCTGAACATTTTTCCTTCCACATGGCCTTTTTTCTGTAATTCTACTTATCACCCCTAGAACATCACCAGACTTTACCCATGCTTGTCTGGCTTTTGCCTCCGTAGAACTCTTTATTCACACATTAGTCAAGTCACCTTGCAGTTGTACCACTACTCTGGTTTTATTGAATTGGCAATTTCTAAAACTCCAGGAAGTTTAGAATTCTGGAGAACTATAAAAGCACTCTCATAATCCAGGAAGCTAGAACAGTGGCACCTGGATCTTCAGTCACTGTGGCTGGCTCTCTACCTTTCTATGGCTGTGTCTATATTGGCACGATCTTTTGCTGCTTTTGCGCAAAAACTTGCTGCCTGTCTACAGTGGCTGCAAGTTCTCGCGCAAGAATATTGACATTCTAACGTATGAAATTAGGGCTTCTTGCACCAGAACTCTGATGCGCCCGCTCAGGAATAAGCCCTCTTGCGCAAGAGCTCTTCCAGAAAAGGCCAGTGTAGACAGGCAACATGAATTTCTTGTGCAAGAAAGCCCTATGGCTAAAATGGCCATCAGAGCTTTCTTGCGCAAGAGAGCATCTACACTGGAATGGATGCTCTTGCGCAAAAGCACATCTCTTGCGCAAAGGCACATGCCAGTGTAGACGCTCTCTTCTGGAAGAGTTTTTGCACAAGAACTCTTCCACAAAAGAATTCTTGCGCAAAATCATGCCAGTGTAGACGTAGCCTATATGTCTGATTCAAAATTGCACCCAGTTTTGAGAACTCCATTAATTTTTCTTCCCCTCTCTCCCATGGCTATTTTACAGCTTTCTCTGTGAGTCCACTTGTGTGTGTCTACCTTACAGCAGAGTGTGTATCACGCCTAACAAGGCGATATGCTCTATGTTAACAGTAAATGTACAACTCACTGGGCTGGGAAGCTTCTCTCAGGAGCTTGTCCAACTATTTTAAGCCTCAGGAGGCTGAAACAGTAGGGATGTTAGATAGCGGATAATAGAATAGTCGAGTGACCGCATGAATTCTTAGTGCTTAGTTGACTTTTCTATAGTCCCCGGGGGCAGCAGCCAGTGCACTCCTGGCCCCACTCCCAGGGAGCCTAGTGCCATCCCATGCTGCTGCCTCTTTTTTCTCATAGAATACAACCAATAGATAATCAGATAGCAACTGCTTGGGGTCACAATTTGTAAAGCTATCAAAACCAACCAAGAAACCCACACCAGGCACAACAAAATGAAGTACGTTAGGTGTTACAAAACGGCCGAGGAATACCGCTGTGGTAAAACGCTGCTAGTTTGCTTTGCTCATCACTATTAGTTCTTTTGTGGACAGCAGAAGGGAGCAGGATTATTTCCCCTATCTCCGTTCTGTTCACTGTATTTTGTACCTTCGCAAGCAGTCCGTGAGCGTGGTGGTGCCTGATACATGGCTTTCCCCATTCACCACACTGCCATCACTGCCTGGGCTCAGTGGCCAGAATGGTGTAGAGGAGCCTGGCAAATCCAAACTGATGTCCCAGAACGGATCTATCGTTGTGGAAACACCACTAGGAAAAAGAAAGGAGTTTAGTATTTTACCCAAGGAGTAACAGTCCAAAACACATGACTTACTATATGGCATAAACTAGACATTTCATGGAAAAGGCAACCAGTTGCATACTTCATCCCTTTAGGACACTGAGACTCTGTGAAGTATATATGACAAAGCAGCTGAACTCAGTACTGTATTTATATAGCCAATTTCATTCATAGAGATTCATTTAAAAACACAAAGAAAACCACAGATTTTAGTCTCAGGCTACATCTATGCTGCAAGATCTTCTGGCAAAAAATATGCTAATGCAGGACTCATTTGCATGAGTCATGATCTAATTAGCATATTTTCTGCCACTTCTTTTCGCTTAAGGGTTTTTTGCGCAAAAAGAAGCAGTGTGGACTTTTTTTGCGCCGCCACCCCCCCGTCCACACAGCTTCTTTTTGCGCAAAAAGAAACGGCAGGAAATATGATAATGAGATTGCGACTCATGCAAATGAATCCTGCATTAGCATATTTTTGGCCGGAAGATCTCGCAGCGTAGATGACGTCTCAGAAGAGTAGCTGTTTTAGTCTGTATTTGCAAAACCAGTAAGGTGTGGCACCTTAAAGGCTCAAATTTATTTGGACATAAGCTTTTGTGAGTAAAACCCACTTTGTCAGATGCATAGATTTTAGGAAATGTATTGCAGGTTTTCAATGCAGGATACAAATTTGCGACAGTCTAAAACATAATGGAGTTCAGTGATTGAGAACCAACTGGTTAGGGTTTCTCCAAGGTGCATCCTCGGATGAAAGTGCTACGGTATTCCTAAGTTTAACTGCTGCATTAGCTGTGTTCAGATAAAAACAAAAAACAACCCCTCCCAATACTCTTCATATGCAATGGTATGCTAGTTGGAACTAGGGTTCAAACAACAATCTGCCACTTCACTTGGAAAATGAGACCGTAAGAGAATACCAGAAATTCCATTATATTCCTGCTCACGTTTCTCTACAAGTCAGTGGTAGACAGACCCAGTGGCTAGAGATGATTGCAGGGTTTCCTCCGAAAGCTTTAACTTCCATTCCCTTGAACCTTTCCTTCTACAATTCAGATTTGTACATGATTCCTGCTTCCAAATGATAACGTTTTTCGTTCACAGCAGACTATTTTGTACATGCTCTTTATCTGCTCTTCTGGCCACCTCCTTTCCCTAAATCAGGGGTGGGCAATAACTTTCAATGGGAGGGGGGCACTCCAAGATTTTTGGCAAATGCTCAAGGGCTGCATTTCTACCAAGGGAGTTTGGGGTCCGGGAGTTTTGGGGTCTGGGTGCAGAAGGGAGCTTGGGATATGAGACTGGGGTGCAGGAGCAGGTGTGGAGTCTGAGAGGGCGTTTGGGTGGAGGGGGTTGTGATCTGGGGCAGAGGCTTGGGGTGCAGAGTCCAGGAGGGTGCAGGAGAGGATTCTGGCCTGAGGGAGGGGCTCTAGGAGGGGGTACAGGGTCTGGGAGGGAGTTGTGACCTGGGTGAAGGGGGTGCAAAGGTTTGGGTGATGGCTTGGGGCAGGTAGTTGGGGGGTGGGGGGGAAGGGAAGAAAGCAGGGGTGCCAGAGGCAGGCTCTGGCTGGGAGGTGCTTATCTAGGCAGCAGCCCTGCAGGAACCCAAGCTGCTCCATGTGGCTCTACTCCAGGAAGTGTGAAGGAGTGTGGGAGAGGGAGGGAGGAGGCTACACTGGCTGCCCCTGACACGAGCAAAATATCTCAGCTGCTATTGGTCGGAAACTGGCCAATGGGTGCAGAGAGATTTTGCTGAGGGGCGGGGCAGAGCACAAAGCCTCCCTCCGTGATCCCAGAACAGAGCAGCCTCATCTAAAGCGGCTGCCGCTACACTGTGTTTAAGGGTCCCAGCGAGGCAGCCACAGGCCAAATCCGGTGGCTTTGTGGGCTGATTCCGGCCTGCTGGCAGCCTCTTGCCCACCCTTGCTCTAAATACTATCTCTCCCAGTCTAAAGATCCTAGTTTACAACTTCTCACTTTCATTCAGCTTCTCAGTGCAAGCTGTTCGAAATGTTCAAAAGAAGAAATATGCCACATGTAGGGACACTAATTTCAAACTGCAAAACTTAATTTTATGCATTGAGCCTCTTTACTTTTTCTTTAACTCCCATCTTGTCTTTGTTAATTTTATTAAAAATTCTGATATCACAAGTTATTATTAATCAAGACCAGCTGGATCCAAAAGACAAATACTCACATTTCACACTAGTCCCCATGATACTCAGTTATTCCTACAGCAAGATTTAATTTTACCTTAAGCCAGTCCTCTAGAAACCTTTGCCACCAAAACCTAAGGCTCAGACTAGAAGAAAAATAATAACGTGGCTGCATTCAAGAGCGCTCTTGCTTCAAGACTGGTACAGCTGACTATTCCCTAGGAAAATAAAATTTGCCTCGAAAATCTTTTGAGTATTAATTTTGAAATTAACCAAGTTTTGGTAGCCCAATAACACTTTAACCTAAAATGCAAAATCCCATAAACGTGTGGTATTTTTCCAGGCAGATTTTTCAGTGTATCTTGATCTATGACATTTAGGTGCTGATGCAAGAAAAAAAAAAGACCCACTTTGGATGCTGAACTGGTGAATCATACCTATCCCTTCTGAGTGCAGAATTAACCAAATTACACTTACTGGCAGACTTGACAAGTGACATCAGACTGCAGTCCGCCTGTGAAGATTTGGTCTATGATGCAGTTACAGTGGTTGGGGTTGTTGGCCTTCTTCCCATTGTCGTCACCTGCAGGAAAACAAATGAAATAGTTGTAAATACATACTTATATGTGCCCAACCAGTTCCTATGGGCAGTGTGGAAGCTCATGCCCACTGTATGTTTAAGAAAACCAGGGATCAAGAATGTACTGCTGGTGGAATACAAAATACTGTGTCAAAAAATTTAAATGCAATTTAATGTTTCAGCAGAGATGAGGCTTTAAGGTAACATGAACAGCCAGCTAATCTCAATTCTACTCTTGAGATAGCCTGCTCTTGCTTTAGAGAAATCTGCTTCACTGGGTCAGGTATGAGGATTGGCTCCAAAGCTAAGAGATGCTGCCAAAGCAGTTAATGCAAATCACTTTTGAAACCCCACTACCATGGCCTTCGAGTGGCATATACAGTGGAATAAATGGGCAACCTTTGTCGCAGAAGCAGTAAGTTCCACTCAGGTTTAGCACACAAGCGTCTATTATTTTCTTAAATTAATTCAGAGGACAGATTATGCAGAGATGAAGATAATGACTATTTTTAACAATGCTTCCTTAATCAGCTTCCCAGAACAAAAGACTAAGGTTGTGTTAAGGCTCCATTAACCTTCAATCTGGTACCTATACCCTGGCCTTTCATAAACACTGTCCTTGAGTTCTGAAGTTTTCATCAGTAAAAAAAAACAAAATGCAAGGTACTCTAGGCTCCCAGAGAGCATTAGGTAAAGTCCTGTCTGCTTCAAGCTTATTCATGGAGAGACTGAAGCCTCTCTGCTTTCCATTAGGTGAAAGCGCATATCCACCTTCTAAGCACTGCTGCCAAAAACATGTGCGCTGGAGGCACAGCAGTTTGCTTTATGACTGTGACCCTAATGGAATTAACTGAATGCAGCAATCACAAAGGTTTGGTCAAACAATCACAATGCAGTTCTGATGACCAAGAACTCCAAACTACAAATCTCTGCTCTGATACACATTCTTTTTCTAGCTTTGGAAAGTCTTAGCCTCTGTGCCTCAGTTTCCCTATTACTAGAAAACAGAGGTTCTCAAACTTTTTGGGCTCCAGAGCCCTTTACATGCATAAAAATTTACACGGAGCCCCAGCGGTCCACTGATTGTATGTGTTGTACCTATCGATGTTTCCAGTTTGTCAACCTCGCAGAGCTCCTGGAGATGTCTCATGGAGCCCTGGGGCTCTGCAGAGCACAGTTTGAGAAACACTGTACTAGAAAGAAGATAAGACATTTACTTTTCTACCTTACAAGCTTGTTGTGAGGATGAATCCAAGTCTGCAAACTCCTTATCCTACATTTACAGTGGAGTTTTTGTTGCTGTTGAAACACCACCACCAGACATGGGCGAGTCAGTTCATACCAGCTGGGAACTAGTTCCTAAAGTAAGTTTTGAAAAATCTTTCAAAATCCTAATGTAACAGAGGGGGCTAGCACAGCTAATATTAAGTTTCTGTCAGGTTTCCCTGTATCTACCCAGTTAAAAAAAAGTGCAAACATTAAAGATTAGTTTAGACTATATTTTAGTTTTAGAAATGAAATACTAAGGAGGCCTAGTCCTCATTTCTCAACACAGCTATTTTAAAAACAATCTTTCCATCACTATGACAAAAGAGCAATTTAAAAGCACACAAAAGAAGAAAAAATTCGTCACATTTAAGGTACTTTATTTTAGGTTTGGCTGTTTACAATAAGCTGAAGGTACTTTTAGGTTTGGCTGTTTACAATAAGCTAATAGCAACACATTTTTAAACTGAAACTATGGAGAATTATTGAAAATATAAATGGATTGACTGAAGCCTTGTCTACAATACTTACCAGGAGATCTGTGCTGAGGGGATCAATCTCCTTGGGGGTGGGGGGGGGGGGGGGAGGGGAAGGGAAGGTTACCCACTAAATCATGCTCCCATGGACTTCAGTACTCCAAGAGGAATGAAAAGAGTAAGGGGAGTGAATAGGAGAGTTTCTCCCATCAACCTCCCACAGTGGAGATTCCACAGGAACTCAAACTAAGATATGTAAACTCCATCTACGCTATTCACATAGCTGGAGTTGCATACCTTAGTTCAGGGGTCAGCAACCTACGGCTCAGTGGGGAAACAAATTAAGGAAATATAAATGTCCGGTATTTTCTAAATAAGATGTAATGTAGATTGTGATGTAATGTCAAGTGTTTCTGGTATTTTTATTGAAACCTACTTGCAGCCCCCTGCAAAACTGGAGTGCCAGCACCTGCTTCTTGCCGTGCGGAGGGTGGGAGGGGGGAGAGAGAATGACCCGAGGCTCCATGCTGGATCTGGCTTGTGGGGAAGAAGTGGAGCCAGGAATGAAATCTGGCCAATGGGAGCAGCAGGAGGCCGAGTCTGGAAGCGTGCAGGGCACAAAAGCAAGTAAGTGGCCTCCTCACACACTCCCTCCACTGAGACCCTGCACCCCCAGCCCGCTCCTGCACCCTCCCCCCTGGCCAGACACCTACTCTCCACCCTGCTCCTGCACCCTCCCTTATTCCTGCACCTCCACCCTGGCCGGACACCCTGCCGCCAACCTGCTCCTGCACCCTCTCCCCGGCCTGAAACCCTAACCCCCAGCTTGCTCCTGCCCCCTCCTCCTGGCCAGATACCCTACTCCTAGCCTGCTCCTGCATCCTCTCTTCCCCTCAGACCTCACATCCTCACCTCCTCCTGCACCCCACCTTCCCCCACATCCTGCACCCCCATCCCTATCCCACTTACTGGTAGCCCTGTCCCACACACAAAGCTCCTCATTTTTGGCCCCACCCCAGAGTGTAGGGGAGCACAAGGGGAGTGAGTTGGGGACCACACCAGTGAAGTTTGGTTTTTTTTTGGGAGGGTGTTTTTTGTTTTGTTTCTCATTTGTATGGTCCCCGACTGATTTTTCTTGGCTCAGTGACCCCGACCCAAAAAAGGTTCCCCACCCCTGCCACAAATAAAGATAATGTTGAAACGTTTTGTATTGGACATCATATTTTACTTTATTTAAAATGAAGCCTGGCCAACAAGGCCCAGTTGGGGCTCAACCCCCATCTGTCCGCAGTGTCCTGTCCCTGTCCCTGATCCTGGGGCAGGCCCCACAGTCCAGCCACTACTGCCTGGGTGCAGCAGCCCAGCCCCAGACTGGTAAGGTAATCCAGCCAAAGCCCCCCCCCCCATACTCTATTTCCCACCCCAAGTGCTCTGCCCTGCTTCCTGCACCTTCCACATACCCCATTCTCCTGCCCTGAGATCTGATCCATCCCAACCCTGACTCCTGAACCTTCATATCCACAAACTGAACCACCAGCAGCAGAAGTCCCATTAACTAAAATCTGTGAGTACAATGTTTCCTTTATGCTATTATTAATCATGTCAATTATCACTAAAATTAAGTTGTATGTTTTCAGTCATGCAAATGGATAGTCTCATACTGGCTCTTTGTTAACCATTTGTTCTGAACTTTGATGTAGTTTGGAAAGGTTGCCGACCCCCGCATTAGTTTGACATTGCCCCCGGTGTATACCTACCCTGACAAAGTTCCATCTTGTGTTAACATGAAATAAATGAGATGAGTGAGAACTACATAGCTGCACTGAGGTATTTTAGGTCATCATATCCTAAATGGTTCAGAGAAGCTCTCAGAAATTCTATAGCTTCTTGCCTTGCAAGGACCACCGGCCACTAAAATATACTCAGGAATCATTTGCAAGAAAGAAACAAATGGCTTAAATAACTAACTTTTTTTAAAGTTAGTTGCACATACAATTACAATCTAGTTTTAGCGTTTGTTTTAGAACAAAGCACTCTCAGCTGAAAGTGGCTTCCACCCCAACCATGGGAATTTTATGAACAAAGTCCCACCATGAGGACTTCCAAAATACAGGTTTCAGTTAACATCCTCTTGAACCTAAGCCCTTTAGCATTTTTAAAAGGTTTAAGTCATGCTCAAAGTTTGTCAACCTAATCAATTCTTAAAGAATGTTCATCTTTATAAAAGGCCATTAATAGTTTGTAAGACTACACATGGATTTTATTAATGATCTGAAGATATTTTATCTTTATTTTTAAATTTACATTTCAATTCCCTTTAAAGACACATACAGATAATTACGTCACTATAATCCAAACATCTGAAATTGATTTTCTCCCCTTTGCTTGTTTTGGAGCGGGGAGAAACAGGCTCTATACATTTTCATTGGCTCTCAGGTAATGTCCCTGCTGCATACTTTAATAGACAGCCATTTCTAACCACAGGAGAATAAGAATGCTCCCTTTTCAATTACATAAGTCAATTAGGCTCAGTGATGAGGGGGTCTCAAAAGAATATCCTGCAAGCTTGTTCACAGCTAAACAGAAGGGCATTACCCATTCACATTATTTCCCATGACATCTGGTTAGAAAGAAGGAAAAAATAATAGCACCACCTCCTCGCACTTGGCTATAGATATTATATGTACTAGCTGCTGCAACTGATTGTGTTGTTGTAGTTAAGGTTGTATTCAGCGTATTTATCATATCATATGGTAAACTCTATTTGCACAGGTTTATGCAATAACCATAACAAACAACAGTAGGTACAACAGCGATTTCTTGTAAAAGAAATCAGCCACAGTAGGTAAGAGGTTTATTTAAAATAAAAACACCTCATGACTGCTTGAATAAATGCACATGCAAATTACACTGATTAAATCATAAAGGTGTCCCCCACCAATGTTAAACAGCTTGGATTTAGATTAAATGTAAACATTCTATAATCACTAACAGTGTAATTGTTTCTTTAATTTGGAAAACAGAGAACAGTTACAGTTCACCAGTAGTAGCAGTTCCTTTAAGTATATTTGATGTTCCTTCACAAACATACTAGATATATTGATAGAAAAAACATAAAGCAAATATCTGCAAGCATTATAGTAGTATTTGCATGTTATATTTCTCCAGAATGTGGCACTTCTTTAAAGGTTTCATGATGCTTTGTCTCACAACCTTCGATTTTTTATTTTTTACCAAAAAAGGGACACATCAGAAATTAAT